AAAAAAAAAAAAAAAAAAAAAAAAAAAAAATCAGTGACAAATGCCCTATCAATTTCAGTTATGTAAGAGCAGAACTTCACATCAATTCATTTCTAAAACATGTGTAATCAAAAGTGTAAAATGTGTATTTTATGACAGCAATGAGCCTTCAAGGCATGAAACTTACCAGAAAGAAGGCAGCTAAACAAGGGCCTGGAAAATAAATTAACTTTAAATGAAACTTCATCTGGGAGTGACCTTCTAAGAAAGAGAATGGACTTCAAGGGGACGAAACAAAAGGACAACATTATTTTTATATTTTGCAAGATAAGACTCGGGGTTCTTGGTTTTTGTTTTAACTACAGGCAACACATTTTATGCCTTTGTTGAAACAAGCAGTGATGTACAAGTAATTCAGATTACATCACAACAGAAACACAGCCAGAAAGCAAAATAGGAAAGGAAAAAAAGGCCAGGCCTCTGCTCGAATGCTAATTTATTTTGCTTTGTAAACTAGTTGTGACATCTATTTTCTACTGGCCTACATTGTCTGAGGTTTTGAGGCCTATCTGTCATATTGAGGCAACAGACCCTTTCAACACTTCTCTTTGCTTTGATATGCAGTCTTGTCTCTTCCTTCTCCCTCTTTTCTTCAGGAGTTATATTGCCGGAAAGGGTGATGATTTTCACAGCAAATAAAGAGGCCTTCTCTGAGCTTTATTGTCTTCAGAAGAAATACTCTGTGAATTTTATGACCAAGGGGAATGGGGAAAACTACTCCTTTTCTCCACCCCCTCAAATCATGGTTATATTTGCTGATTATAGTGAAGCCGGAATAACCCTGTTGAATTTTAACTTGTTTTCAAAGATTACCTTCTAAGCCTTCAGTTTACAAGGAACCAGAATATCTATACTATTGTTAACATTACAACTATCACTTAGAGCAAATATTTCAAAGCCAACAATGTGTACCTTGAAAAAAAAAAAGTAAACTTAGTTTGACGATTGGTTTAGTCCTGCAAATTTTGGTAGGAAAACCTTGTATGCTAAAAGTCAGAGTGGCATAGGACTTGGGAAAACATCCTTAATTACACGTATTGCAAAATGTCTTCAGCTATGTCTAGCTCTAGCCTTCAAATAGAAATATTGCAGTCTATCCTTAGTGTTGGTCCAAAATTAAAGAGAATTGAGGAAAAAAATATTCCTTCATCTATTTCTGTCCTTTTCTCCTCTGCTAAGATGAAAGAGTCTGACATTTGTTTAGGGCTTGTAAATTCCAAACCAATTGGCTTGTGTTTCTGAATGTGAAAGGGGTTCTTGATAAGATCTCCTTGTCGCTCCTTTGTGTGGCGTGTGCTTCATCTTAACACCTCAATGGATTTTAGGGAACCACTTTAAAGGAGTCTTTGTCCTACAGTTTGTCCCAGAAAACTCACATCAAAAAAAACCTGGGAAGATCAGAAGGAAAAGGAAAACTATCTAGTTGGCTGTTAAAAGCGCAAAGGAGAACAAACTTGAAAAGTGATCTCTCTGTATTATTATTACACGAAGAATCGTTTTAAAAAGTCTATGGAATGAGAAATATCTTCTAAACATCAAGTAATGCTTCTCTTAACAGTATTCATCCAATATATTTAAGAGTATTTCTTTTATACATTAGAGAGGATGACACTGAAATCCTTTTACAAGTATTTTATTGCCTCATCTTACAAATTGCCAAGTCCCATCAACTCAAAAGGAAAAGCTCAGCACACAGAGTACCCCCAGTAATACTCTACAGGCACTCAGAATCTGGCAAGACTGCATCTTTTTGAAAAAATAAATTTGAATTATTATTGAACTTCTAAGCATGTCCAGTGGCCACACAAGAAAGCAGAAGCATTTGTAGTAGGACATTTCTTTGTGTTAGAGAGGTGATCTTTAAAAACTCAAATAAATAATTAGGACACGGTCCAACTACACAAACTGTGACTGAACTTCAGTCTTGAAATCCTGTGTATTTATGCCTCCATAGACACAGAAGTCACTTCAATGAGCACTGAAATGAAACCCCTTTGAGATCAAATATAGCCAGCACCAATTATGTACTGCTATGAATTGCTTAAGATGCTTTTCACTTAAGAGCTTTACATTTAAATGCATGTTTACAGAGAGTGAGATAAAGAGGAAGAGACAGTTATGATAACCAATATTCATTCACTTACTCACTCTTAACCCCATATTCCTTCTCTGTAACACAGAAAACAATCCCATGCAAGTACTCTTCAGTTTAATTAATAATGTCTGTAAAATGTTTGAGATGTTTGAAAGAAAGATGCTACAGAAAATCAAACTCAACATATTAATAATATTTCTTTCTTAAACAGGTAAAACAAGAACAAAAGAAAAGTACCGAGTTGTTTACACAGATCATCAGAGACTAGAATTAGAGAAGGAATTTCACTGCAACAGATATATTACAATAAGGAGAAAGTCAGAACTTGCAGCAAACCTGGGACTATCTGAAAGACAGGTACACAGAGACTATTGATCATTTGTACGCACCCATTCACCAGACACTGCTCCTACCAGAGGACATGAGCAGCACTGACGTTCTGTATCCAAAACTAGTGCGAAGGCAACCATGATACAGTTTGTGAGTATGTGTGACACAGAGAATACACTACGCAAATACAAATTAATAAATAGGCTAATTTACAGAAACCTCCAATTATTGGTAACTAAACATGAGGAATTCATTTATACTAGAAAAAGTACTTATTCTTACATGCCTAACAGCTTGCTAGACAGCTAATATTTAAGTGTCTCACCTTAAAGTTATCTTAGCTATGTTCTCAATAGTTATGACATTCACCATTTCATTTCTTCTTGCAATCACACAAAATGGTGGCCAGAAAAGATCCAAAGCATTGAATACATTTCAGCTGTAAGTCAGGAAAATAAAAACTCAGCATTCAAAGAACAATCAGATGAGATATCTATGTATTCTTTGTTACAAATTTATTGCCACTATTTCCAGAGGCCACATTCTTCACCAGTCAGATTTTAACACATTTTAAGGAGTTGTTGCAGTCTTTGATTTTCAAGTCAGGTTTTCTTTTTGCTACTATGTTCACAGGTACTGCATCTATAGTAGTAGTTCACACCCACCATATACAAGATGCTTTAGGCTATAAAATTTTGTGCCCAATTTTTATGCCTATTATACACATATACATAGTCAACACTATCCATTCAGGAAAATTTCAAGTGCATACTTAGATCCACTGCTTCCTTGGAAAGCAGTGCTGCATTCATTCATATCAAGTACATGTTTAAGCTCTGCCCTGAATAAAGGTAGTCTGGGCAGGGGCCTAGGTGTCTTAGCTGTATTTGTACAAAGACTAGAGGAATTCAGGATAAAGAATTTCCTAAAATCACCATGCTGGAGAGCGGCACACTTAGGAAGCACAGCTCTGCAGTCTGCAAATATACTGTTGAATCCAACCCTCCTTATACTATAGAATTTCAATGGTTCTGCTACAGTTGGAGGATAAGGGAAGATTTGGCTATACTGAGTAAGGCATCTCATACCTTAGCAACCAGATTTATTGACCCCAGGTAAATCTAAACAAGAGATCTTTCTTTTTAGAATTGTACAAACTTCTGTTCTTTCTGAATATACGCATTCAGTTCTCTAAAATATTCTCCTCTTTCAGCAGCCTCCTCTGCTTCTGCATTCAGTCTGTGAAAGAACACGGAATAGGGACTAATTGAGGCTGGAAGTATAAGGATACCTGGACAAGCAATGATATTTTAGGATTAAGCATTGGATGCAGTGATGTTCAATCTCAGACCTAAACAGTACATAGATTTCACTCTGCAGTGGCCCCAGAAAGTAACTACAAAAAGCAAGTCTATCATTGATGGACTAAAGTTTGTTATACAGTAGGATGTAGCTCCATCAGAAATTTTCAGAGAACTGTAATTATAAAAGATTCAAAACCTCTGCTTTAATGTTCTGCAAGCAGGCTGATTTAGAACACAGACATGCCTGGTGAAACCAGTGATACCACATAAAATCAGTAGTTTCCTTTTACATAGCTGTTGCTCTTAAAGACATCAAGTTTTTGACTGGTAAATTTCCTTTAAGTATAATGTAGACAAAATACATAATGCATATGCACTTCTACAGGACTCATGACAAAGCAAAATGCTTCTTATTGTCATTACCTGTAAGGTAATAAAATAGTAAGTATTTGGAAAATAAATAAAGAGATTTTTAATATAAAGCAATGGTACAACTTTCTATATAATATTGTATTCAACAACCCTAAAGGCCATAACAGAAACTGTGAAGTGAGAACACAGAAAATTAATACGGAACACATGAATGGGGTTTTCTACTCATTCACACTTTCACATAAGGAAAGAAAATATAGATACTTAAACTAAAAGTAGATTTCAAGCAGTCTTTTCATATGCACAATTAGCCTGGGAAATTCACTGTCATTAAGAAGAGCTGATATATCTATTTATACATGACACAGTACATATATATGCATTTTACATATATAAATATATAGCCCAATATTATAATAAGAATATACCTACATACACAAATGACACAATATAAATGAAGAAAAAGGACTCTAACTACTTGTGTTTGAATTAATCTGTAACACAGATGAAGAAGTAATCTGTAACAACACATGGCACTGTCAAAGCTTAGCTGATGAACTAGGTGGACCCTGAGTCTAAATAATTAAGCTGACTCTTATCTTCCTAATACCACTCAGCAAGTTCACTTTCCACCAGGTCTAAGAAAACAAACTCATTTTCTATTGATCATGATGTAGAAAATGAATAGAGACTAACTAAAAAACCTTTCAGTGCACAAATCCGGTGTTGATTTCTTTGGTTTAGGGTTTATGGTTTTTTGTGGGGTAGGGTTTTTTTTTGTTGGCTTTGGTTGCTTGGTTAGTTTTTTAACATACCTATATTTTCATTGCTACTATTACTGTAAAAAGTTGACCACTACTTTGAATTAATCAGTTATCATTTATAACACCATAGGTGAAAATCTGGTTCCAGAATCGGCGAGCCAAAGAAAGAAAAATGATCAAGAAGAAAATATCCCAGTTTGATGGCAGTGGGGGCTCAGTTCAGAGTGACTCTGGGTCACTCAGTCCAAATGAAATATCTAGTTCTCTGTTCCCACCACCACATGGAATAAATGGATTACAGCCTAATGACATTCATCAAGTCATAGTTTCAGAATGAACAGAGGAAGAAGAAAAAAAACAAAGGAAAAAAGAAAAAGCAAGAATGGTTTTCCCCACCGCCACCCACTCCCTTGAAAACTCAACTTTGCAAAGGACCATTCTCATTTAACTGTCTTCAGAGTGCTGATTTTTAAGTACAGGATCTGGGACTATTATCAAAATATTTTAATTATTGCAGAAATCTCAGGGAACATGCGCTGCTAAGATTCATCACTCAAAATCTTTGAGTAGGAGGTAATTTGCTTCAGACACTGACACAAAGAATGATACAACCAAATATTCAAGTAAACGTAGTTCTAGTCTGATCATATATATACACAGGAAACTAAGTGAACTGATTATAGAGTACTACTGCATAAAATATAAGATGCTGGGTGTATTTGGTTTGTTATATTTTATATAATTAAACCGTAGATGTTAATAAATATTCACACTTAAGTGTACTGAAAAGAATGCTACTTTTTGAAAACAAGAATATTCAAAACACTTTTAAACACTCAAGAAACATAACAATGTTGCTATACCAACATATTACATTTAATTAAATAAAACAAATCTTCTTTGCCCTATGTAATTGTATTCAAGCATGCCAGGCTCCTGAGCAATAGTTACAGGTATATCATACCAATCCTGCCAAGATTGCTGCATTTCTTACAATTGAACAAATTTGCCATGTACATTAGTATGTGCCAAATAGTTTGGAATACATAAGTATTACTTCAATCTTCAGTGAATGTACATATTATTGCTCAAAAATATGAGCACAAATGTAATGGAAAAAGAACTGCTACTACCAGCAAATGACCAAAAAGCAAATGAAGAATGCGTTTAATGTCTCTAAACCTCGTAAGTGAAATAGTAGCAGTCTTGGGCCACTGATTTTATACATGAAACTTATTTTGGGCTAAAGGCAAGAAATATCGCAAAGTAGGTGACGCTGTATTTCGAAGCTGTTATCAAGCAGCTTAGCACATTCACAAAGTCACAGCAAGCATGAAAAAAGTGTTCACTCCATGTGCGTGCCTGAAAGAGCACAAATTAAGGAAAAACATACTCACAGCTTTAATTACTGGTCCATGTTGGCAGGTGAGAAGGTAGCAATGGTATGTAGAAGACAACTGATGAGTCTGGAAAAAGTAGAAAAAAAACCCAAAGCACAAAAAAAAAAATCCCCAAACCCTTCATTGATATTCCATAATACGAGTTTTTTGACTGCATACAAGTTAAGTACTTGTTGGAAAAATACAATATTACTGAAAATGTGATCAGGAGCAACGGTAATAAAAAGGGAAAACAGAAAAAAAACAAACAGAAAACACCGTTATCTGGCATAGGAAGTCATGCATCACTTATTTCAACAACATCACACTCTTGGTCCCAGAAACAGCAGATCAAATTCATTCTTCACATTTGCTCTACAACAGATTTGGGAGAGGAGGTTTTCCCAGTCCACCAGTCCCTCTACCTGTGTTTTCCTTTTATACATGAAGGATGTAGAAGAAAAAAATAATTTCCCAGGAAACTCAGGAAGAAAGAAGCTGTAATACTTTAGACAGACAAGAAAAGGGAAGAGGACCTTGACCTTTCCACCCAAATCTCAAATCATCAAAAAGCCTCTGTAGAAGAACGGGCAACAGCTTTTCTGAAGGTATCAGTGACAGAAATTGAGAGTGAGCAAAAACTTTCTTCCTAGTTTCTAGATTTTTTTTCTGTGATCAATTTTCAAATCAACAAGGAAGAATGGCAAGTAAAGAGCCATAAACATAAAACACGTCACTCATTATACTTGTATACCAGAAATGCATGGTTTAACTTAAAATGTCTCTTTCCTCCTAATTCATGTCAAAACTGAAATAAAAAACTTGCGTAATTATTTACCAGGTTCACATTCAACATATTCAAAATTATCATCTTGCAGTTTCTAAACAAGCTCCAGTCTACCTTTTTGAATTGCCAGGCAGTCAGGAAACACCATGCTGTTCCGACAAACCGGGCAGAGGAGCCACTGAAGCCATTGATTGTACTTTAGAACAACCATTGTTCACAAAGGAAACATTTTAAATGAGACTATTTTAGATGTCAAATGGGAGTTTGAATGGGATACAAAGCACCTCCTACAAGATGTTTAAAACCAGTCTTGTCAATAAAAAGTATTTTCCCTTTTCCTGATCTTCACCCTGATTTTTTTTTCCCCATCAGGTCAATTTTACATGTATTCAAAGCATGTATTAATAAATATCTGGGGGAGACACTATCTTTCATGCATTAGATAATGACCTCTAAGCCTAAAACCATATCAGATTATCATCTCTGGCTGCAGCTAAGTCAAATAAGTTATTACCTCTATTTTGCACTGTGCATAACTACCCTCCATCTAGATCATAATGTCCCTTTAAATTTAAGCGTAGTACCACACCTGTTTCTCAAAATAATCCAAGAGAAAAAAACACATTCTTAAAGCTTTTTAGACTAGCCAGGATCATTTTTACTAAACTGGATTAGACAGTGATAAAATAAGCAGTTATATTACCAGATCAGGAAGATGGGAAGCCATAAAGAGGGGAAAATGGCAAGCAGCTGAAAGGAAGAAAATTCTTACTCTGTCTCTGACAGGGTTTAGACAGTGCATCTGACTGTAGCCTCTGCCAATTTTTTTTGCCAGAAAACATTTTCCCCAAATCAAAATCCAACATGCTGGCACATTTTAATGGCCCATTAAAAACTATATGACATCCTGACAGAGGAGTCCATCCTATATTCAAGTTCTGTCAAGATCAGCACGGGAACACAAGGATCAGGATATGCAGTTGGGCGGAGGCAATATGGCCATTACAAAGTCCCTACATCACTATTATTTTCTGGGCAGTTATGTTTAACTCTTCTACATTGCATATGTAAAGGAAAAGGTTCAGAAGAGATGATCCAGCTCTTAAATTTAATTTTTGTATTTATGTGAGTAAGAAGAAACACTAAAGGCTATAAATAGCATTTTACAATATTTATCTTTCCTCCTTTGAAGACTTCTCCAGGGATTTTAATTAGACTCCCCCTTAGCACCATTAGGCAATTAAAATAATAATAAATCAAACATGATCCTTCTCATCCAGTGGGTATCTTCCCCAAGCTCTCAGTTTCCTGTCTTTTTCACTGTATGTAAATAGAAAGCCATCACACTGTTCAAATTCAGCTCTTTGATTGGCATTTCAAGTTTGCAAAGTAGTGAGCCACTTTAACACCATGCTGATATCAAAAGAAAATTCTGCATCACACAACTGTCTAATTCCAGCAGCCAGCAAATCCCTTCTGACATTAATTTGAATCAACTTTATTCTTATGAGAATACTGTAAAGGTGCCAAAGCTTTGGGAACAATTGCCTTTCTCAGTCCCACTATCTACAAATACTTAATCAAGAAGGAACACTTTACCACAAACTGTTCATGTTGAGACTCAATGTAGCAGCAGAGTGATTTGGATTCATTAACTAACTTCTAAATATTGATCTGTGGGAAAAAATAAAGCCAATCACAGACTTACCTGTAGTTATAGTAATGACAGACAGTTTAGACTATAAAGTAGAAAGGAAGCTATTATAGAATATTTTTAAAAAACATTATTTACAAAGAAGAGAGCATAACTTAAACCCCTAATTGGCTGCTCGTAGTAGTAATAAAGATCAAATAAAAACCTGGATCAGAATCTTGACAACCTCTTGAAACTAAAATCACTTTTGAAAATTGATCTACCTCTCCATTAGGCATTTTCAGTATAAGCACCACAGAGCTGCATACCCCTGCACAAAGCCAAAAATGTTCTAGACATTACAAACACTTTGTATCACAAAAATAGCTTCATTAAACCACTCACATCACTCTTGATTTGCCTTACTTCAACAAATGAACATACCCAAATTTGCCTAGCAAGTTACACACTTCTATTTCTAAACAAAAGAATGTGAACCTGCAACAAGATGATGGATGCACCTGAAAAGGGAAAAACAATTCTGCTAAATGCAACAACCAAACCCACAGAAATTACCAGGGTCTTTTTCTCATAACAAATTCCACAGTATTGAACAGGATCACCTATACATTGGTTGCTATTCCCAGTCAAAAGTTATGGCTTTATTTCCCAAAGAGGAAATTAGTAGGTAATGCTAACATTTTGAGAGTTATTTCAAGAAAGCCTCAGCTACTTAACAGTCTTAAAATGTGCGCTTAATACTATTTTTAAAAGAAAGTATGATTTCCATTGAAGAAATGATTTTTATTATTCCATGGATGTGCTAAACACTAATGATCCTACTGAAATTATCTGCAGCACATGATATCATGCCATTTGGGTAAAGGTTTCATAACCTGAGAATGAAAAACACTATCACAGGTAAATGGCTTAACAGGGGGCTGAATGCTAGATGGTCAAGTTGTAATCATGGATCCGAAACCCATTATCAGCTGCTGATTCTCATGTGCAACTGAGGTTAAAAAAATGTTTGAAATGCCAAATTAATGCAGCTTAATACTTTGATCCATTAACTGACACTCCCTAGAGCCTGATATTCTCCCTGTCACCCCGGCTATCAAAAGTAGAGCAAGCAAAATATGCAATATTGAAATTAATGAAAACTTAGTACACTGCCTATGGATAACCTCAAAAAGAGACGGGGTATAGAACAGCAGGCCAGTAAAGAAAACATTTCACAGGCTTGTTTTCTACAGGTTGCAGGTTCCTCTCTGGAACCCCTTATCAATACCAGTTTTCAGGCAGTCAGTGCAACTTTCTCTGAATGAGGCAGAGCTCTGCCTCAAGACGTTGGCAAGAAAATGCACGATTTTAGCAGCATGCATTTGGCATGCTGCCACCTGTTAGCTGTAGCTCTGAAAGCCAAACACCACAGCATCTGACGAGGCTGGCTACAGCAACCAAAGCAGTGACAAACACATCTGCCCCAACTCACTGTATGGTTGAACTAAGATGCAACAAGAACATAGTGGGGATGAGAAGGATGAAAATAA